GACATTCAGAGCAACACTGATTCCCACGGTTCCTGCTTGGCTCCGAGTATATAATTGCTTTACTTCCCTCCACAACCAAGGTTGATGAGACAGGGAACACTTCTGGAACCATGCCTGGGAAAATAGACACACACAAACAAACCATTCCTCGTCAGCTGAGGGTACACTACAGAGGACCACAGAAAACTTATACTCAAGGAAAAGAACTCAAAAGGCCCAAGCTCAGGCCCACTGGAATCATGTCACATCAATAATAAAATAGATTGCTCCCAACCCCTCCTTAGACCCTAGCCTCTCTTTCTCTTAGACACTGCAAAAGTGAATGGCTATGGGACGAAAAAGTAAGGATAACTACAGCCAAAGCTACCAGGAGAGGTATTTTGAGAGAAGTGAAATTTAAACTGGACCTTAGAGGGTAAATAGAATTTCACCAGGCAAAGATGGGAGAGTAGCCATAAAAAATAAAGTGAATGGTATAACCAAGATGAGTGAATACAGTACATATTTGGGAAATGGCAATAGTACAGACTGGCTGAAGCATACAGTTCACAAAATAGTAAGAAACAAGGCTGGAAAGGCTTGCTCAGAGACCAAGGTCTCCAAAGTAGGCATGCACAGGCAAAAAGGGAAAGGCCTAATTCAGAAGTTTCAGACTCACAGTGATCAGTTGCAGCCAAGACAGCAACGGCATCAGTGATTTATCCTATAATTCCTGCTTGTCCCTAGTACTTGAATTACTTTTCTTCATATGCCGGGTTGACAAGATACAGGGCAATTCTACAATCATTTCTGGGGAAATACACAAATGAATCATTCCTCATTAACTGAGGGAAAACTAAAGAGAAACCAAAAAAAAAACCACCCTTCTTTTCAAGGAAAAGAACTCAATAGGCCCAAGGCCCACTGGGACCATGTCAGCTCAGTTACAAGATATATAACTCCCAACTCCCCTTTATAGTCTGCCACTGCAGAATAACTTTGTTCACTGTAATAATGCCAGCAATTTTCCACCACCAAAGACTGACTCTAGTAACTGATATTTAATTACTTCCCCCCCTGGAGCAGAATTTCAAGGTAGTACTAGCTGGAAGTGATGCCTTTGCATTTAATCTTTCCTCTATTTATGCTGAGCTGGGATGTAAATGTTTCTGGTCCCTGAACCCTAGGCATCGAAGCAGAGATGGACTATGTGGGCCAGTCTTCGATGCATGCACAGATATTCCCTGTCTGATTTCAGTCTAAGAGACGGTAGCCATGACTCAAGGGTTTATACTATGTGAGGATTCTGATTGGCTGCAGAGCCAGAAGAGAATTGATGACACAAGAGCAGCTGATCTGGGAAAGCCCATCCCTTCATCACTCTTTCTTTTATGCCCATGATGAAGCTGTTGCTGTTGTCGTTCATCCTTCATACTCAAAAAGGACCAAAATGGCATCACAATTTTTGGGGTCAAGGTACACTGTGTTCAGCTGTGTCTGATAGTCCAAAATGAGCTAGGAAGGTTCTACCACCATTTAGGTACAAATAGTCCATTTGAACATTTGTGATGGAAATGTCTCTAGATTTGTGCATTTTATTTGTTCTCCTGTGATTCTGCTGTCCTTTAAGAACACAACTCCTTCTCTGATGTAGGCATGCTATGCTAGGTGGTCCTGTGCCAGTGTCTCCTATGTCTCATAATTGATACTAAAGTTCTTCAGAGAGACCTTGAGAGTGTCCTTGTACCACTCGTTCTGACTTCCATGTGAGTGCTTGCCTTGTGCGAGTTTTCCATAAAATAGTCTTTTAGATAAATGTGCTTTTGGCATTGGAACAAAATGGCCAGGCCATCAGAGTTGCACTCTCGACAGTAAAATTTGAGTACTTAGTGGCTCCACTTGAGAGAGGACTTCAGTGTGCAGTACCTTATTTTGCCAGGTGATCTTTAGAATCTTCCTAAGACAATTCAAATGGAAGTGGTTCATTTTTCTGGAATGGCATTGGTATACCGCCCAGGTTTCACAGTCATACAACAATAAGGTCAGCATAATAGATCTGTAGACCTTAAGTTTGGTAGGCAGTCTAATACCTCTTCTCTCCCATGCTTTCTTTTGGAGCCTCCCAAATGCTGAGCTAGCTCTGACAATGAGTGTGTCAAACTCATCATCTATGTGGACATCCCTGGAAAGTATACTGCCAGTGTAAGTGAACTTATCCACAGCATTCAAAATTTCTCCATTTGCTATAACCATTGGTTCCATATATGGATGGTGCAGTGCTGGCTGGTACAGAACTTCTGTTTTCTTAGTGTTGACTGTCAGGCTAAAATTAGCAAAAGTGGCAGAGAACTGATCCACACTCTGCTGCATCTCAGTCTCAGAGATTGCACTGAGTGCACATTCAATCTGTGAACAAGCCCAACTCTCCCTCTATTTTAGTCTTGACTTGTAGCTTTTTCAAGTTAAATAGTTTACCATCAGTTCAGCAGCTGACTTTGATGCCATTTTCATTCTTGTTGAAAGCATGTGACAACATTGCTGAAAACATCATGCTAAAAAGCATGGGAGCAAACACGCAAACCTGCTTCACTCCACTGGTGACTGGCAAAGCACAAGACCATTGTCCTTTATCTAGAACCTGTATAAGTATGCCATCATGAAACTGGAAGACAATACTGAACTTCTCTAGGCAACCAAATTTCACCATGGTCTACAAAAAGCCTTCAGGACTGACAGTATCAAAGGCCTTGGTCAGGTCAATGAATGTTATGAACAAACCTCTGTTCCTGTCATTTCTACTGGAATTGTCAGGCAGCAAGCACCATGGCAACCATTCCTCAGCCCTTTCTGAAGCCACACTGACTCTCAGGTTGATGATCATCTTCCAGGTGAAGGATCAGCCAATTAAAGAGTACTCTGGCAAGAATCTTGCCAGCAATAATGAAGAGAGAGACCCCACCCTCACATGATTGTCACAGGACAACCTCTTTCCTTTTCCTTCAATAGAGGTAGACAATGGAAATATCTTTGATCTTCTGAGGGATAGCCTCCTCTTGCCATATAACCCAGAAGATTTCAGGCAGCTTCCATATGAACAGTGAACCCACCCACCCCAGCCCCTTACCCCTGCCTTGTAGATATGTTAGGATTGAAATCAGCACCATGCCTGTTGCCACACAAAGAGGATCCTAATGTCATTCAATAACTCTTCTTCAGTAGGAAATTTGGATAGAAAGGGATTGACTTTAACCTGAGATATACAGTCAATGGCTTCAAGCATTGGTTGATGACAGTCTGTTGAGAACTCTATAGAAGTGTTCAGCCCGGATCTCCAGGATAAAGTCTTTATCACTGATCAGTATAGCTAATGCATTGGTAGTTAAGATACACCAGAGGTTCAGGACATCATAGAACAAGCTTTGGCTTGTTGCTATTAGTGTAAAACTAAATCTTATCTGCCTTCTTACTGACCCAAGAGTCCTGCATCTCTCTAAGCTTTGCTTGCACTTTACTTTTGATGGAATTAAATGCTGCCTTCTTAGAGAAGGACAAACTGTGCAGCTGGTAAACCCTGTGGAGTTCTCGTTTTTTCATTTAGTAGCATCTGAATTTCCCCATCATTTTTGTCAAATCAATTTTGACGTTTGCTAGTATTTTGGCCCAGATGAGCAAATGCACTTTACACCGAGTCCCTGAAAGCCATCCACTCCTTGTCTGTTCCACTGTTGCTATATACTGACTCAGTTTTCCCTCTAGGTCAGCAATAAATGGCTCACACACAGAGAAGCACTCTAATCTGTTGATGTTGAGTCTCCTAACAGTCACTTTGCCTTGAAGCTGCCACTTTTGTTGAATGTTCATCTTAGAGAAGATAAGTCCAACACTCTGCACCACACAACACTGTCTTCACTCTCACATCCTGCCTGTATCTTCTCCTTACAATGATGTAGTCTCTTAAATGCTGATCTTTACTGTGAGGGTTCATCCACAGCATTTTATTACATTTAGGTAAATGGAAAACAGTGTTGGTAATGAGGTCATGAGATGCACAAGTGATTGTTGCTGTTGCTGTTTCTAATTCTATTCCTCCCAAGGACTTCCTGCTATGTTTATGCCTCCTCTGGCATTAAAGTCATCCAGAATTACAAATTTGTCCTCTTTTGATGATCATTGATGATGATGGTTTGTAGGTCTCCATAAAATTTTTCTTTGACCTGATCAGGGTTCACCAAGGTGAGAGCATACACATTGATGATGGTGGCATGGCACTTTCCTGCAAGTGGCAATCACATTGTCATGAGCCTGTCATTTAATACATTTGGTAGGCATACAAACTTGCTGACTAGATTAGATTTGATTGTGAAACCTATACCAGCTTCATAATTCTCTTCATCACAGCAAGCACTCAGAATAACAGGTATACATCTCCAACTTCAGTAAGATGACCTTCATTTGCTAGCCTCATTTCCCTCAGGGCTGCTATTTGGATGCAGTACCTGCTGAGCTCTCTTGCAACAAGAGCTGTTCATCTTTCAGGACTACTAAATTTTGTGTTGCCCATGAGTATGCATACATTCTACATACCAATGCCTTCTTCACAAAAATTTTTGTGCATTTGTTGTGTTTCAACTGCAGGGTAGGATCCCTGCCTCTCTCAGTAAGCATCTTTTATAGCCCCTTCCTCATGCCAGGAGCTAAGCAATGTGGTCCTTTAAAAAAACTGCTCAGATACCCAGGGGGCTGCTGAATCCCACTGCTGCATCAGTCCAGTGAGAAGATGACCGTATGCCCCAGGCCACACATGTGCAGAGTTGTGACTACAGCTCCCACTGTATACATATCAGGTACTTTGTCACTCACCTGTTGTCATGGGATTTCAAGGTAGGTAAAAGAGTAAGATAGTAAAATAATTATATAACAAAATAGCAACATGTCTTAAGATGTCTTGACTTGCTCATGAATTGGATGTAAGTGAGGCAGATTTACACAAAGTCATCAGCCTCATTCTCTCTTCCAGAGTCATCAAAGTCCAGTGGCAAGACAAGAGTCAAGGCAACTGGTGATGGCTCATGATGCAGTGGAAGATTTTGGTGTTTTCAATATCTGACCAAGCTCTAGGTACTCCACAGTACTTGCATCTACCCATTCCCCCAGGAAAACCTTTATATGCTTGGGGTAGGCACCCTCCTAACTCACCAACAGATGTGAGGCCTGTCAGTTACCCTCACCCTCATTTAGCCTGTCTGTCAAGGTAGTTTTACTGGGGATGCCCACTACAGCTTTTTGGAACCACAGGTAAGAGTTGGGTGACAGATGGACACCAATGCTGCATGAGCAGCCCTGTGGCAAGCCCTCACAACAGAGGTACTAGTCCTCCCTGAACACTGTATATACCCCAATTACCCCAAGATGAAAGAGGATTACTTTGAGTTGCCTTCTAAAAGGTAGGTGAAAGGGTTCCCCAGTATCCTGCCCAGCCAGTGGCAACTATAATCACATGACCTCTCTCTATCTCTTTTCTGATTGTTCTTTCTTAATTATAAGTGGATGAATATTTTGAGATGGAAGTATCCAGGTGACCTTGGCAGTTTGGGAGATTCAGAGGTCTTATCAGAATCCAAAAAGGGGCCAGAACTAAATGGTAGTAGTAATATTAGCCATCAGAGTAACAATGGTTTAGGAAAGATAGTCACCTGGGGATGGCAGCAGAGTAAAGGAGTATGATCCCTTATACCAGAGAAGAAAAGCTATGGACTTTAGAAAGGCACAAACCACGGGAACTTGGCTAAGCAGCTTACCCAGACTTCTAAGGAGAACTTCATGAGTATCCCCCATAAATGGAGTAAAGGCTTTCTAGGGCCAGGGGATTGGGAGGTATCCCTTTGCCACACATGTTCTCTACATGTATTCTTCATTACCTTTGTACTTAAAAGTTTGAACCCAGTTTCCTCCAGGGACCTCATGTGTTCAAGGGGAGAATGTACGCCATTATGGCAGGAATATTTTGTATTAACTAGTCATACCACTCTTTCTCAGTAAACCCATATTGATAGTATTAGCAGCCTAGACCATGAGGGTCATTGCTAGGACCCTGAGGGGAATAGTAGATAGTCAACCCTCTAGGGACCTAACCTATGAGCATGTGTGCCCAGTTGAAGTAATGGTCCCAGAGGGGATACTACAGTAGGCTATAGCCAGATCTTAGAGCATTTGAACATAGAAAATAGCTTTCTGTTGAAAAGTTTTTGAAAGATTTTAGGCAAAGGAAGGACATGATCAGAACTGTGCTTTAGGATAATTAACATGGCAGCAGAATATACAATACATTGGAGGGAAGAAGAACCTGAAAGCAATGAGCATCTAGTCCATTAACAGGGATTACAATATTCTAGGCATAAGGTGTCAAAGGATTGAATCTGCGTGATGGCAACAGAAATGGATAAAAATAGACAGATGGAAGAAAAACTGAAAATCGAGTAAGTGACCGAATTTGGGGAAATGACCCTACGATTTCATACCTGAGCAACTAGGAAAATGAATAGAAATTAATAGAATAAGGAGTCAGATGGAGATTTGAAAGAGAAGATATGTTGAATTTAAAGCATCACTGATGCACCTAGGAAAAGATATCCCAATACAGATACCTTGTATTTTTTTTTTGGTAGAGAGTGGTAAGGGGGGGTCTTTTCAGTTTATTACATCGAATGATACTAGTCCAAGTTAAACAGTGAACCCTAAATGGTTACATCATACAATCTATGAGGTTTTGAAACTTGTGACAAGGGACAGAAGGGAGTTTTTTCTACTCATTGCAAGGAAATCCTCACTTAAGCTTCAGAGGGCCGCAAGTACTTAAAACACATGAACCTTCAGCTGGTTGTCCTTAGCCAGTCCAGGATCTATAAGAAACTGACTTGTGCTTTTACGCTGGTTGCCCTGTAGCTGAATTACTTCTCCATATTCTGGATGCTCAATTACAGTACCATTGGAGCTTAGGAGATAGGCTAGAACTTGAGATATTGATTGGGGACTCATTCTCATAGAGGTCATAGTATCATAGATCTGGAGTTGGATGATACCTTAGAAACCATCCAGATTAAACCTCTCATTTTACATTTGAGGAGAAGGTAAGTGACCTGTACACAAATCTCCAGATGAAATATGTGCGTATACATATATATGTATATATATGTATATATATATGTGTGTGTGTGTGTATATATATACACATATATACACACACACATGCACACATACATATATATATACATGCATATGTACATATGTATGTGTGTCTCTGTATATCCAGCCCTCATTAGATGCATAACATCCCTAGCTAAAAACTATTATTCTATATTTTTAAGGTATGGTTCAAAAATACAAATCCAGTTCTCAGCTACTATCTTCATAACAAGGCATTCAATCAATTAACAAACATGTATCAAGGGCTTATTATGTGTCAGGCACTATGCTAAGCCACTAAGAATACAGAAACAAAAAAAGCCCCTACCTTTAAGCAGAATAAATTTGAATAGAGACAACATGTAAATAAATAGGTACATACAAGATATATACACAATAGATTGAAGTTAGCCTTAGAGGAAAAGTCTCTGGCAACTGGGGAGCAAGGAAGGCCTCCTGAAAAAAAGTGGCATTTGAGCTATCTCTGAGAAAAGCAAGTATTCTTTTTTTTAATTAATTTATTTTTAGTTTTCAACATTCACTTTTATAAGATTTTGAGTTTTAAATTTTCTCCTTCCCCCATCTCAAGACAGCTTGCAAGCTGATATAGCTCTCTGTACATATTTCTATTAAACATATTTTCACATTAGTCATGTTGTAAAGAATTAGAACCAATGGGAAGAGCCACAAGAAAAAAGAAACAAAACAAAACAAAAAAGAGAGAGAGAGAGAGCAAATAGTATGCTTCTATCTGCATTCAGACTACATTGTTCTTCTTCTGGATGTGGACAGCATTTTCTGTCATGAGTCTTTTGGAGTTGTCTTAGATCTTTGCATTACAAAGAGGTAAGTCTATCAAAGTCAGTCATTGCACAATGTGACTGTTACTGTGTACAACGTTCTCCCAGTTTCACTCACTTCACTCAGTATCAGTTCATATAAGTCTTTACAGGTTTTTCTGGAGTCTGCTCATCACTTCTTATAGTACAATAGTATTCTATTACATTCATATACCACAACTTGTTTAGTCATTCCCCAATTGATAGGCATCCCCTCAATTACCAATTCTTGGCCACCACAAAAAGAGCTGCTATAAATATGTTTGTACATGTGGGTCCTTTTCCCATTTTTATGATCTCTTTGGGATACAGACATAGAAGTGGTATTGCTGGGTCAAAGGATATGCACAGTTTTATATTCCTTTGGGCATAGTTCAAAATTACTCTCCAGAATAGTTGGATCAGTTCACAACTCCAACAATGCATTAGTGGAAAACCAGGTATTCTAAAAGGCAGCAGTGAGGAGGGAGAGCATTCTAGGCATGATGGATAGTCATCAAGTGAGCAGGGGTTTTTGTTTGCTTGTTCATTTGTTTAAGGACAGGAGAAATGAAAACAGGAAAGAGCCTATAGGTAGGAAGAGATTGAGATTGAGATTGCCTTCCTCTGCTGAATCCCTTACCTTTGATTGGCAGCAGCAATGAAATACTTACATGCACCCCTAAGGTCTTCAGATGAGTAACTTCTTGTAGAATAATATAATAAATAGAATAGATATAGAATAACAGAATAAAAATAAAATAAAATAATAGAATAAATGAATGATAAATATGACTGAGTCTAACATATTAGCTATCCTTCCTATCATTACATAAACCATAAACTTGATAAAACATGCCATCTAGATGTTTAAATGATTAATTTTTTTAAATGCTGACCATGAGAGGATAAAGGGCAAAGTCACTAGATACCTACCTCAAAATTGATAATAATCTATTAGCCAAACCACTTTTTGCTTTCACAAAGGAGTAATGAGTAACAGGAGTTACTCATGGACCCAAAGATAGGTCCATGTCTTTTGTTAGGGATGAGATCTTTCTAGAGAAAGAAATGTAGATTTTCCAAAGTTTTTCTCCCAATTTCTACTCGGAGGGCAGAACTTACCATAAGCAAAAAGTAAAGAAAAGTGATCTTTGGTACCATCTACCTTCCATGCCTTAATGCTGCCTAAGACTTTCTCATTCTCCCTGGGCCATTTCAGGGCTCTGTAATTTTTCATCCACCTTCCACTATTAAAGCATTTGCTATACTCCCAGTTATTTAGAAGGAGGCCAATCATTTAATTTACACCAAAGCCTCACTGACTCAAAACAACTGAAAATGTGACTCCTAGGAGTGTGTGCATTTTAACTGAGAAGACTAAAATGCAGACATCAGCACCATTGTGGGAAAGGAGTTGGTGGGCGGAATCCCCTCTGAATCCCTCAAACCATACTACACAGGCTGAGACCAGCTCCCTGCCAGGTGTTCACCTTTATCGTACCCATTTGTCCAAGACCTAAAAGCTACAAACCTGAAGACTCAAAGACCAGAAACAACGTTCACAGGCAGCTGACTTAACCTAAGTAACTGTGATCTTAAATTGTCTCACTGGGGAGTTCCCAAGGCAAAACAAACAAACAAACAAGGACAACTGATCTGGCCTGCCAAAATCCTGCTCTTTTTTTGCTTCCAGAAGGCCCTGGTAAAATAAACTGCATAACATTGGCTGGCACTTGGTCCCAGAAGCCTTCCCTTCACTGCGCTGTTAGTGAGCCCAGTAACCCAAGCATTAAGATGCAAATCAGGGCAGTGCTAAAGTATTGATGAGCCAGAACCATAGAAATAAACAGCAACAACAGAAAGCTATCTCCTAGACTCTACTGATTCACAACTAGCACTTGCCCCCAGTTGAAGACTGGGTATATTCTACTACTATTTGCCCCCAAGAAATTGCTAATGGTGCCTTTTTGCTTCCAGTGCAAGACAGGGGCACTAATTGTCTTAAAGTGGGATCCCAGTAAAGTTCTAGTTGGCACTGCTGTTTACAGTTAGTTCAATGTATTTGTGACAGATGCAATGGAATAGAAAGAACCATGATCTTGGGAATCAGGAAAC